AATTCAATTGATTAAACTTGCAACCAAAGTGCTTGTGGGAAAACAGGGATGGAAATTCTGGATTTGCAGTTTGTGCTTAGTAGGTACCGGTCACTTTCTACCCAAAAGATGATGATGTGACCTCTGAATTGTGATGGAATAATACCGAGGATCACTGCTTTAATTCAGTAGGCTGGCTATCAAAAGTGCAATGTCACAAGGTACTGAAGTTTCAGAACTTCAGCTGTTGTGTATTTTGACTAATTAATTCTTTATTTTGTCTTCGTAGGCATTAGCCAAATAAATCCACTGCGACAGCATGTTCACAGAATGCTGGCAGAGATCTTAGGAGGGAGCCATTATGCAAGAGTATCTGTTCTCACACCATACTACTATGAAATAGGTGAGAAGTTCCACTTTCAAGGATTGTTTTGGAGACTGCTGATAGCACAATTACCACCAAGGCTGGCAAGCCCCTGGGGCTGTCTATTTGCAGGCCACAAGATACCACAAATAAGAAATACCTGTTTTGGCAGTTTGTGTAGAATACACTTTCTAACAGTTTTGCATAATTCAGGTACAAATGTTGGATACCTCTAATGATGGTTGTCACTTAGTTTTGTCTAGAAGCAAACACTATGCTGAACAAATTATTTTCCCTTTTTCTGTCTGTTTTCATCTGTTATGTTTTCTCACAGATTTTGAATGCATTCTGGATAAAAATAAAAAGCCTCTTTCTTACATGGCTCAGAATATACTTCTGGATGATTTGAGGGGAGTACACTTGAGACGTGACATCGAGGATGAAGAGAGAAAGGCATTGCCACAAGGGGCTCAGAGGTTAGTACATGGAATTCTTACACTCTACAAGCTTTAGATGAAATTTAGACCAATTTTTTTTTTTTGTTTTTTATGTCTTAAATAGTGGATGGAACACTTGGGCTATTTATTTTTCTGTTCCTTTTTCTAGAAACTTTATTAGATTTAGCCTTTCTGTGTGTAGTGGTTTGACCCTAGCCAGCAGCTAAGCTTCCATCAACAGAATCTGGGGGGAAAAAAGAGAGGGGAAAAAGAAATATCTCTTAGGTTGAGATACAGACAGTTTGATTAGTGAAGAAGGTTTGTTTGTTTGTTTGTTAAATAAAAGAAAAATGAAGTGATGGAGATGCAACCACTTATCACCAGCAGACCAAGTGCAGCCAGCTGCCAGACAATGACTAATTTGGAAAAAAAAGCCCAGTTTATTGAGGAGCATGATGTTACACGGTATGGAATAGTGCTTTGGCCAGTTGAGGTGAGCTGTCTCAGCTGGTCCCTTCCTAACCTCTTGCCAAACCCAGCCTACATTCTGTGGGGGCAGAGTGAGACACAGAAGGTCTTGACTGCTGTGTAAGCAGCATGTAGGAACAGACAAAACACAGGTATGTTATCAACGCTCTTTTGGTTACCCATCTAAAACGTGGCACCGTGTTAGATGTTACGAAGAAAATTAAATCCACCTCAACCAAATTCAGTACAATAGAGCAGATAGAGATTCTTGAAATATGTATTTTATTACACTGGAATACTCTGACCTCTTCTAATGTAATCCTTGAAAATGCTGGTTGCTGCTTTTGCCATTTGAACAGAGCAGAAGAAAGAAAGAAGTGCTCTTCCTAAAGTTCAAGTATCTCCAAATAAATGTAAGAAAAACATTTTGTCTACCTTTAGGGAGTTGTTTAACTTCCTTCTGCTATGAACTGTTAGATTTATCTAGCACAAGTCTTCCTGCAACTGTCAGTGCTGAGCTAGAAATTTTACTTTATCTGAAAGTAAATAAATTTTTCTGTTGGTTTGTTTGCAGAATTGCTTTGGAATTTCTCGATTCGAAAGCTTTTAGTAAAGATTCACGCCACCTGAAAGGAGAACCTGCCTTGAAAAAACGACACCTGGAAATTCTGGGGTATTGGGTCATTCAGGTGAGTACCCAACAATATTTTATATCTTCTGTTGAGTTGTGTTGATAGTGCAGATTGATGGATTTTCCTTCCAACAGCTTTAAAGACAGTTTTCATCTGATAGCTAAAAGCACCTACTGAGTGAGAGCAATTTTTGAATTTTGAGGAGTAATTTCTAGCAATTTGTAGACTTAGTAGAACTTAACATCTCTGACAGCAGCTGCAGAAAAAATAGAGTCAAGAAGTCTTAGTGTTACCTCAGTGCAGGCAAACTAGCAATCTGAACATCGCCTGAGTAAATGAGAAAATATGAAACAAGAGTTTCAGTTCAATTCAGCAAAGATTTTCATATGAGAAAAAATTGAATGCACACTCATTGCACACTCAGAGCCAGTTATGGCAGCTTAAAGAGGGTGGTGGAGGCTGGCTGGTTGTGGAGTGACAGTACTGTGACTGCAAAGCTAGTGACCAGTGTAAATTCCCACTCAGGAGCACAGACATATTAGGGGGCTCGTGATGAATACTGATTCTCCCGTATAGATATATCAATACTTATATCACCTACTCTGATTTTAACTGGGAGTCTTCTATAAGCTTAAGCTTTTTTTTTTTTTTTTTAATTTGGGTTTTATTTTTTGTTTGTTTGTTTTTTTATCCCAGACAAAATAAACATCTTTTCTTGTGTTGCCCTGAGATTAAATGTTGGGCTACTGACACACCATTTCAGTTTGATACTTCAGCACTGCAAACTGTTGACCATGGGTTTTTCTCTCTTAATGGGTTTCAAAATACCTCAGGTGAAAGATGGGGTAATGGAGTTGTCATAGCCTGTATTGTATGGGTATCTGCTTTTCATCTCTGCAACTACTACTTTGTGGAAGCAAACTGACAGAAGGGCATGTGTGATAAAATATTTTAATGTGGAGAACAGTAGATCCTTTCTGTGCTGTGAGACTGTGACTTGTGTCAGGCAACATTAGCACTAAGTTTGTGTGACTTTGTTCTACAGATTCCTCACTTTGAATGGAATTCTATGGCTCTGTCCACAAAACCTGAGCAGCTTGAGTATCTGAGAAAACGTCTGTACGAAGCTCAGTGATACCGAAGATGTAATTACAAGTAAATTTTTTTAATATACTTTGTATAACGTTAAACTTCTTGTAACCCAGGAATACACGCCAAAATTTCTCTGTGAGTTAGCTGGACTAAGTCTTGCCATAGGGCAGTGGCTGTCATGAGACTGGATCCTACATTTGTTAGGGGTTGTAAAAGGCTGGTCACAATACGCTACGAAGATGTGATTGAGATGCATAAAAGCTCCCATTTCTGGAAGCTATTATTTAAGTATATGGGTCCGTGACAGTTTTGCCATACAACTGCATTATTACCTACTGAGATTTGACCAGATATTAAACTGTCCAAAGAAAGAGTTGGAAATACTGACTACAGAAGAGGAGGTAGCAAATAGAGTGGAAACTATGTCTGTCCTCCAGCATGTGACAAAATGAGCAATAGGGATCAAACACAGTCTCTCTGTACTGTGAAACTAACAAAGTGAAATGTAGATTTACTAAGAATAGGACTGCTATTACAGCCATTCTGTTTTCATCTTCTAGAGCACAGAGAACGTGGGTGACAATGTCAGGGGAGGGTGTGGTGCAGTGAGGAACCTCCAGCTGCTTGCTTTTTCTACCCTGTGATACAGCATATACAAAAGAAGGCTTGAATCCTTTGGAATGCCTTCACAAACCTGAAAGGTAAAGTAGCTCGAGAGGTCTGGCAGTCACCCATTAACACCTGCAGTCCAGTTCAACTTGGAAAGGATAACTGAGGGATGAGGAGGAAGTACTGTTTGTGTCAGACACAAGTACCTATCAGTGACTGGATAATTTGTGAAAATGTTTGTAATTATCAGTTGGACCACTCCTTTCTAATAGTAATAAAACAAAATTAATCTATATAAGCTGCCTGTCCTGTAAATAAGAGTGCACAAAACAGCAAAATAAGGCAGAAAACTGAAACCAGAAATTGAGACTAAGAAAAGTCTTCAGAGAGTCATAAATATTACCTTGGTTACCAGTGGTGAAATTGCTTTATTTGTGGTGTTTCAAAACCATCAGCCAGTTGCATTACCAGCTCCCTATGATCACGTAGAACTAGGGTTTTGTTGAGAGCTAGAAGATACTGGAACGTGGAAGGAAAAAGTGGAATAGCCAGGAGAACGTTAATTGCTAAGTAATAAACTGTAGGGTGGTTATACTATTGCAGATCAGCCTATTTTCAGAAGCAGCCATGTTTGGCTATAGTTCCTACTAACTCACAATGACTGCAAGTTATGCCCTTGTTTCACATATACAACACGCCTGCATTTCTTGTGTTTTTAGAGAAGCAATAGACATTCTTTTTACTATGTGCTTTGAAGCTTGGGCAAAGCAAGCATCTACATTTCTGAATTGACCATTGTGCACCTTGCTTTGGTTTTTTTTGGTTCAAAAACCTTGGTAAGAAGAGTATATTTTTTATTGTCTGAATCCAAATGAATGCAGTGATGAAAAGCCAGGAAAAATAGACAGAACTGACCAAAGCTGCACTGTTCTGCTGAGGCAATCCTCCTATGTGGAATGACTGAGAGCACCACTAGATGCTTGTCTGCTTATGGTGATGGTGCTTCTGATCAAACTGACAAGGGCTGAAAAGGGCTGTCGTAGAAGAGTGCTTTGGGGAAGTGCCACTGAATGCATAGTATATAGAAGGACTGTATGCACATGATATTTTGTGTAAAATGGAGAAGATAATTATATAAGTTAGGATAGTAGAAGGTGACCTCCAAGTCAGAGTGCTGTTCTGTGACCTTGCTTCTGTACAGGAGGGCATTGTGTAGCAGCTGGAGAATGTAAACGTGACAGTGGCTGTAGATGAAGTGATCATGCAGGGATGGCCATGGGCTTGAGATGGACTTTGCAGTTCAGGTAGATTCAAGTTATGTATGGATAAATTATGGGTACTCACACTGTAGAGAGGATTAAAACTGACTAAAAGTGGATTCAGAAAGTGTATCTACACAAAATATAAGACACCATCATGTGATATTTTAACAGCATTAAAAACGAAGTTTAATCATTACTAGTTAGGAGTTTAAACATTAAAATGCATCAATTATTTCTTAGGTAGGTGCTTACTCGTGCAGTTGTTCTAGCATTTTTCCATGAATGCTTGTTAATGGCCTCGGATCTCTGAGAAAACTTACCATTAAATATTTGCTTTGGAAATAAATACAAAAGCATAAAAAAAAATGGAAATCCTTGTCATGAGAAACCAAAACATAATAGGCAAAGCTATTACCCCTATGAAATTCTCTTTTTTTCCTCACAGCTGCCTACTCTGGCTAAGTGCTTCTGTTTTCAATATGCACTTCAATTCCAGGCTAAATTAATTATTTTTTAGAAGGCTCCACTGAAAATATTTTCAAAATGACTAAAGAATGCAGGAGTTGCTTACACTGTTGAAGGGAGAAATCAGGCTGTACAAACAGCTGGTTAGAATAAAATCAGCACCTAGTAGTTGTATTTAACTTAATCCATTCATTTTTGAGCACTGTTTTCAGATCAACAGATTCAGATTTCTGGACTGAGAGTAAGGATATTTAACCAGTTCTATTTTCCATGGAGTAGAAGTCTTCATTTATTCTAATAACATTAATTAGAATTCTTCAGGATTTTAAAGGTTAGCAAAAATTCGCTTCTTATTGATTGGCTGGTAAATACCTTAAGACTTGGATAGACAGATGAACTGTTTAACAGTTAACAGTATAACTAGTATGCCGCTACAAAACTCTGAACAGTCTGGAGATGTTTTCATGCAACAAATTCAGAAGAGCCTATGAAAACTCCTGCATCATATCGAATTTTTCAGCATTTTGTTTACAGCTTCGACAGCTTGAAGAGATTTAAACGTGTAGCCAAGCAGGAAGCTCCAGTCGCATATCGGATCTCTTTCAGTATGCCAATCCATTCCTTCTTTTCATCATCATACCTGCATTTAAGAAAATAAGGTCAAAATGTAGCTTTGTCTAAGAAAAGGAGAATAATCCGCAGGTTCCAAAGGCTTGTAGCAACCTTGTGCTGAGCATTGCTATGAAAAGCTGCTTTTGTTCTCTAGAACTGAAGAGAAAGACATTCATTTCTAGGTGGGTTGACTTTTTCCTGAACCCTAAATCTCATTGTGGCCTGTTTCAAACTTCACTTCTCCTATAGAAGTCTCCCACTCCTGCAGGTCCCTTCTAAATTTTTTTCAAGTTTTACATATGGAAGTGGTTTTTATGGGCATTCTGTCTATGATTTTGCCATTTAATACTCTTCAGTCTACCACAGTAATGGAAGAGTCACAGTAGAGACACAATGTTTCATCACTTCTACTGTGACATAAATAAGTAAGTCTACAAGACTTCTGACTTTTCTCAGAACAATTACTCATCTGGCTTATTAATACATATGTACAAACCTTTCTGTACATGTAGACTTTATTGCATAAAAATGTCATAAACCAGAATGTTTTTATGGCACACCTAAAAGGCTAAACCTGCCAACAGACAGCCACTTACTCTTTTACCGTGTCACAGAATTGTTTAGTTGGAAGGGACCCTTAAAGGCCACCTAGCCCAACTCTTTTCCAATGAATAGGGACACCTACAGCTGCTGAGAGCTCCATCCAGCATGACCTCGAAGATCTGTAAAGATGGGGCTTCCACATATCTGGGCCACCTGTTACAATGCCCTTGCCACCATTATTGTTAAAAAAACTTCTAATGTCCAATCTAAATGTCTGTCTCCTCTCTTTCTCTCTATTTTTTTTTTTTTTTGGCTGCTCTCAGGTCTCCTCAGACTTCTCTTCTCCAGGCTGAACATTAGTAGATTGAAATAGTCATTATATCCAAATCTTGCATGTGTCACTTTCCGACAAACATTTTTATTTGTTAACAAGTCTTTCCAATCTGTGTTACAGTTCATTTCTGAAGGTAAATGTACTATTACTGTTACTCCCCATTGTGTACAAACATCACTGTTCAATAGAGCTTTCTATTAGGAAGTTATGATTAAAGTTAAGCTTACTTCCATATGTCAGTGACTTCACTGGGTGCAAATTCTTTAGATTCGAGCTGAATCATTGCAAAACCTCCAATAGCATACAAAGATCCACTTAAGTTGACTAAACTGATAGAACTTCGCTCCTGGGGAAATTCAGGCACAATCTCCCACCTGAAGATGGATAAAAAGAAAAACATACATGTCAAATACAAGTGAAATTTACTAAATGGATAGCACCAAAATACAGCTCCGGGTAACATAAATGATGTTTTTGAGGACTGCCTGAATGAAACTGATTAGTAAAAGGAAAAACTGCTGAGATCAGTCATCAGTGAGTTTGTTTCTCCATCCTTGCAGGAACTTCATGCAGGAATGCAAGTCTTGGTACGATGGAATTATATCTATCTCCATCCAGAGAGCAGTTCTTACAGGTCTCCTCTTCCCACCATCACTGATAAGCTTTGTGTAGTTGTTATGTCTCTTCCCCTATTGCTCATTTTTCACCCTGTAGTTTCCAAAATGAATTTTCATTTCAAGTGGCAGTAATTTGAGTAATAAGTGAATAAATTAATAGAGCTCATTAAGATAATTTCAAATATTCTTCCAAGTCACAGATAGGAACATACAAAACATACAGAAATCTCACTTTGAGACAATGCTAACATCAAAACTAGTGAGCTGATTTGCTTCTTACACTCATGTGATTTGTCTATAACAGAACAGTAAACGAGGACAATAGCCTGCAGATGTTTTCTGACCACAGGTTGCACCTGTCTCAACAATGGAAGAGTGAGAACGCACCAAACATAATGATAACAAAATTACCTTTACTTTCAGTTGATTTCTATACAATATATAGAGTCCAAAGTTAACTTAAAGAATTACTTGGATAATTCATTTTTCTATTGTCAAATGCTGTTAGTAGGTTTTTTTGGTCTTTTTAAAGTAGGTCTTGAAATTTAGTTTGTGTTGTGAGGTTGATGTATGCAATGCCACGCATCACTGTAGATATCACAGCCAACTGTGTTTATTTACTACTTAAGTACTTACATTAATAAGTACATTAAGGACCTCTGAAAAGTTAAAAGGTATCATAATGAAGTTTTGATAATTTTATTCTAATATCAACTTCTGAACACCTTTGTGACCATCTCAAGATTTTTAATGATGATTTTAGATGCTAAAACATTTGCTTAAAAACAGCTTGAGCATTGTACTCACTTATTTGTGGTCAGATCAAAAGCTTCAACAGATGAAGTAAGGCCTTCTTCAGTGACACCACCGGCAATGAAAATCTTGCCTTTATGGATGGCTGTTCCAAACATTGAGCGAGCCACTTTCATTGGAGCCAGGTCTCTCCAGTCTCCTTTCTTTGGATTGTATACAAATACTCTATTAGTACATTTCCTGGGGAGAAAAAGGAAAACTGTGATCTTTTTAATGAACTTTGGCTTCTTCCAAGTGAGACCTAGTTGAGGCAGTTTGTGCGTGCTTATGTTTTGTGCCTCTCTTCCTCTCCATGAGGTCCTCTCTCATATCCGACCTGGGGATAGACAGGACAGGTCTAAAAAGCACTTGTCACATCATGTTCTACTTAAAATATTCACTTGCTTGAAGAAAATAACCACCACACACTGAGTAACAGTAAAAGCATTGGTTTTTTTTGTTTTGTTTTTGTCACACACATTTAGGTATAAAAGGCACTACAGATGAGGAAAAAAAAAAAACAAGAGCTGATAGAGTAGTTCTTTGGTATTTAAGCATTTCTATCTGGAAGGAAATATAAAGATGATTCTCATAACCGTGATGAAGATGTTTGCTATTTCCCTTGGAAGTAAGTAAAATGGCTAAAACAACGATTAGAGATTACAACTTACATGCAGTTTTACCTTACTGAGAAAAAGCCTGTAGACTATAACGTGCTGCCTTCTGCCAAACTGCTGGTAAATTTAATGTGGAGATGTAAAAGTGGACAGCCTAATTTCTGAGTGGGAGCATAAAATCTATAAAGGACCAACCAAATAATGTTCTAAATAATCATGAAAAGACTTATAGACTTACTTATCATCAGTTTTTCCACCGAGACAATATATCAATCCATTGTTTGAGATGGTAGCATGGCCATATACTTTGATGGGTAGTTTTTTGATCTCACCCCATTTCATTGCCCTGGAACAAAGAATACTGCTGTTAGGCTCCTTCAGTTAACAATGGGCTGCATAGATGTCCTCGTTGGGCAGAATTAAATTTTAAACATACACAGGGTCATAGCACAAAACTGAATCTAGAGACTCCTCATTGCGAAGGTCCTTGCCTGCAATTACATAGATCTTGTCGTCTGACTCTCCCAGCCCGAAGAGGCACCTGGCTGACGGCAGTGGAGGAAGGGCAACCCACTCTCCAGCAACGCTATCCAGCTGAAACAGCACCACAACAGAAGTGTTATCAGAGGCAAGTAGTAAAAACTCACATGACAAAACTGTTCCACATATCTCACTCGGTATCTCAACAGCTCGGCTGCTCACCTGAACAAGCTATCCCTCCCTTGGTGCAGCTATTGAATGGTAATTTTTACCCACCCATGCATCATGACACTAGCACCCAGCAAATGCTACACAGCCCTTCTTTGCACCTGCTCACCCTCATTCCTCACAGAGTTTCTTTGCTTTTTTAAGTTCTTCTTTGTTTAAAGTTCCACACTCTGTGTTGGAAAGAATGTTTAATTCTTCCTCTCTGAAGGAAGCAAATGCCTCTGCCATTCCACAACTCCACACTGAGCACGTTTTGCTAATTACTACAGTGAGAGATGCCAGACATTATTAACAATCTCGAAGCATTATGCAGCAAGTGGTACAGATGTTTCTTGTGCAATCCCCAGAGCAAAAGAGGTGATGTTTCATCACAGATAGCTGCAAAAGTTCCTGAGACATCTTGATAAGCATTTTCACTACTGAAATACTTCTAAGATATATTGAGATGAAAACACCAAAAGAAAAGCCGCAGGAGGGAAAAAGAAAACAAAACAAAACAGCAGAACATTATTTTCATAGAACTGGAGTACTTTTTTTTTTTTTAAATATCTAAGAATATTTTTTAATATTATTTTTAATATCTAAGAATTTAACATTCAATCTGAATGTTCCCTAGCATGTGGTATTTTTTCTTTTCTACTGCATATAGATTTGGTTGATAATGCACAGGCAGGAAAGGTAAAATCTGAGTTGGCATGAGTGTAAGTGCATTTGATGTAAAGTGAGAAAAAGTTCAGTCAAAGCAATCAGATCTGGCTTTAGCTCAGTGACATTCTTTTTCTAGAAGTGTGTTCCATAGTCAATATAAAATGCATCTCCCAGATTTGATGGACCACTCCTATTGAACTAGTTCTACAGCAATGGTGAAGTGTAGTTCAAGGCTGTGTTGCCCCAGGAGCTAGATTCGGGTGAAGAGGTCAAAACATGCAGGTCACAGATGGCAGCCTGCTTTCTGTATCAGTCTTGAAGATAACATCTGCACAGATGATAGAGCAATAAACAATTAGTCCTGCATTTTTGAGCCATTGGCAGCCTGGTTTTGTCCTAGGTTACCAGCTATAAAAACAAATGGTAACAGGTTGTAATAACAGAGTAACAGGTGCATTACTAGCAGAGAAAGGACCATTAGGAAGTCAATGTGGTATGGCACCATATTAACATTTTTCAGGGAGCAGCCAGATGAGTAACGCAGAAAAGTATTTTAACTATATGCAGTAATGGCAATGAGGAACCTGGAAGATGACAAGTGAGGAAGCAGGATTTCAGGCTATTAATTTAGACATATAAAGTAGCATTCTGAGCATTTAATCAATTTTTAGTATCCCTCTTGAAGTTTAGTTTTTCAGAGGCCCCTATCTAGTAGCCTCATTATTCAGCTCTGGATTACATACAAAAATACATCAATGTGGTATAGCTATTGGAAGAATATAGCTGCAACAAGTTCTGCACTTCACTGATTAGCATTTTCATAAAGAAAAATGAAATAGTGCTAATCCCCCTCTCAGCAAAATGACTTTCCTCTCACAGCTATAAGAAATTTTTGGAACCAGCTCTTTCATGGTCTGCGAAATCAGTAACCATAGTGCTATAAACACTCGGTATTTTCATTTTTAGATCTCTGAAGGCTTTAGAATCCTATCACTATTGCTGTTTTGCTTCATATTGTCAGAGGATCTACTTCTACATTCAGGTCAATGTGCCTAAAAACAGATCATGGCCAGTAGCACGCTGTATAAGATCATTTAAACATTAAAAGACAGGATGTAGACAGATAACTAAATATACAACAGAATTCGTTTCCAATGTATGCATGCCAAATTGTTATTTTGCTGCTTTTCTGAAATATGTCATGGAAGTTAGTTTGTATTAACTGGCTTTAAATTTATAAAGATTTATACACATTAAAACTTTGCACTCAGTTGAAACATGGTAGTTAGTATACTGACATTGACAGTTTGCCAGGAGAACAACCTTCTACCAATAAATTATGTTTTAGAATGCCCTTAGATTTTCAGATCTAAATGTGACAAAAGGACTTGTGAAATTTTAGTGAAAAAGTGACTTTTAAAATAAAGATATTAATGTGTCATAAAGATATTTCATACACAAGACAAACATTATATCTATATACAAGTTACTCTTTCTTGAGATCTCACCCTGGGTTTGATCTTGTAAGAGAAGATACAAGTCCCTTTGTTTAATTTATGAGACAGGAAGAGCTATTGGAACTACTCTCCACTGACCATACAGAGACTTGACAACTCACTTGCACAAATTCTAATAAACCTAATAATAACTCTTATAAAGCACTTACCACACCAATAATTACAAAGCTTATACCTGGAAGAAGTAGGATTGGAAAGGCTGATCTTTGTTCTCCTCTTCCACATACAGTCCTCCAACAACGTAGACCTGATTTTGTTTGGTGACTATACTGGAATGGTTTCTGGGAATCTGTTCTGCCAGGGCTGCCAGATAGCATTCATTTTCGAGAGGATCATAAGCTACCGCAGCAGTGTCATTAACCAGAAGAATTAGGTCTTTGACAAACATGCCGTGCCTGGGAAGGTCATTTAGGTAGCCCGGCAGTAAATCTTCATCTCCCACATCACCATTTACTTCCCCTTTGTTTGACTTTTCTTTATTTGTGCTAGAGTCAGGCAGTTTTCCAGCAAAAGCATCCTTAATAATCTTTACTTTTTTCTGAATATCTGAGTTGCTTTTAATTATATCGTCCTTCTCAACATGTTCTTTGAAATATTTTTCTGGCATAAGACGAAAACGTATGCAGTCAAAAACTTCTCCTAGGCTCTTTACTCTGTTCTCCTTGTCTGACCGAACCCATCTCATTACTGCTTCAAATACCAGTTCTTCCTTCTCTACGTTTAAGCTGTCAGGTGAAATAACTGAGATAAGTTCATTTGGTGCAAGCTGCAGGAAGTCCTCTTCTTTGCAGATCTGCACAAAATGATCTGAGACAAAATCACGAGCAGAAAATGCAAGTCTTGGGCAATCAAGCAAAACACCTAATCGAAGGATAGCCAGACAGTTACCGACAGCAAGCCTCTTCTGAAGATAGGAGACACACACGGTGAATACAGAAGGGATCTGGAAGCGACTGGCCAAGGCAAAAATATCTTGCACGTTAGAATCATTAAGATCAATAGTTGCTGAATAAAGGTATTTGACAATCATATCCAGGATGTTGGGATCTACGTTATCTAGAACCACCTCCTTCTTTTTCTCTTCATTTTGCTCAGATAAGAAATACTCACGAAAATAAGGGCTACATGCTGACAGAATCAATCTGTGGCAAGGCAGACTTCTGTCACCAGCTTTTAGGGAGCAATCTACAAATTTTTTCTCTTCCAGGAGTTCTTTGAGGCCATCCTGAAGAAGGGTGGATTGGTAGAGTCTGAGTTCTTCAGTGAGTTCCCTTTGGGAATCCATTTTGCAAATACTTGGGGAAGGGAGGGAGCAGAAAGCTTTAGCTGTTGTCTGCCCAAATGTCTGTCTGTAAAAAAGACAGACCAATGTGCTTTGCCCTGCCTGAAGCCTCTGCAACTTAATCTCAGTAGCTAAATATAGGTACCTAGTCTTACAGGTTGGAATTTAGGATGCATGGTTTGGAAAAAAATAAAGAGTTGTTCTCACAGCTGTCAAAGACTGAAAGAAGCAACTGTTGCTTTTAGTCACTATGGTCAGGTTTTGCCATCACTCTCCATATTTAATCAGAGAGATTACTTGCAATGTAAGAAATTACATGACATGAGCAAGGATGGCAGAATCTGACTCTCAGTAAGACAGCTATGAGCAAGATCATAAACATACACTTTATCAGTATTCCCAAATACAAGTATTGCTAATCAGCTTGTCAGATGCAATTACTGTTTTCATTGTCAGAAAGCTGCTTAATACATGGCCTTGCTACAGATTTTTAATGAGGTATTAGTCACAGAAATATTAAAAAACTCCTGACATTACTATGTAAATTATCCCTATTCTAAAATTATTTTTATTACATACCTCACATCAGCATTTTTTAAGACATAGATTTAAAAAAAATGAATTCTGAGCTGCTTCTTAGCACTGATTTGGTTGTATTTAGAAATAAACAATTCTTAAAGAATAAGTTATTCAGGTAAAGTACAGTTTTTAACCATAATTTAAAATCAGGTCTACCTCCCACTTCCAAACAATCATTCTGCATTTCAGATAATCTATAAACATCACCAATCACTTCACATCTGATTATTTTACAAACCATTAACTGCTGTAAAACTAAACTGAAAACAGTACCTAATAAGGAAAACAGACAAGAAAAAAAAAAAACCATAATACAGCACACGTACATTATTTAATAGATCTTAACAAAAATTTTAAAATCTCAATTTAAGGTAAAATATCCACATTAAACAAGTAGTTTAAGAACCATGAACTTAGAAAAATTACGCATATGGTAAAAATTCACAGTGTAGACTGGGAGCATATATGGTGGTAATACAAAGGAAATTTGAAGCTATTTAATGCACCTTGATGAAAGACTGTACTTTGCTCAGAGTATACTTTTTACCCATACAGTACATATTTTTCTTTGAATGACAAAAAGACAACTATTTGAATGAAAGTCAACCATTTGAATGCAAGATATGCACACAATTACAACATCACTCAAGTTTATTAAAATCATGGTTTATTTTCAACCACAGGTAGTGTTTCCTTGAAATATATACCTTGAAAGATTTACTACAATCAGCACAATTATATTTTATGCCTTACTATAACAGTCAGCTGCTGAACAACAGCTGAATGACAGCTCATTTGACTTTTTCCACTTACAGAAAATACTACAGAGGTCTTATCTCCCTAGAAAACGTAACAGCTGCATCTTCCTTTCAACAATAAATGACTCATTTCTAACACATAACACCATAAAGGTCTAATGACTCAGACACAGAATCTATTTATGCACGTGCGTTATCGTCCCTTAAAAAAAAAAAAAAAGGGCACTGACAAAAAAAAAAAAAAAGAGAGGAAAGATAGCCAGATTACAATAAAGTACCTGGAATGATAAGTGAAAAACTTCATAAATGATGAGACATGAAAACTAGTATTTGATATTGCTTTTTGTCCAAAAGCTGTCAGTAACATAACACTGGCTCAGTGACACAACCAACAGAAATACAGAGGGTTGTACATTTTGTACATCCATGCTGCTCAGAATGAAACAAATTATGGAAATTTGAATCAATTATATTGGGAAAGTACTTCACTGTGTAAAAATATGTGAATACTTTAAGTTGAGCATAAAACTGCTATTTACTGCATTATCAAAATGATAGAGGTTTTCTTTTCTGACATGCTTCTAGGTAAAACAACATGGTGGGGCTGTTCCTGGCAGCTGGTCACAGGGCAGTGTGTAGCCATGTGGGGCACAAAATTGCAGCCAACTGATAGAAACTGATGGCTGAAACAAGAGGATGGACCCTGTGCTTTTACAGGAAGAGGCTCACTGCTCTGGTTCAACCAAAAAAAAAAAATCATCATAAAACCATGACACATGCTAAGAACCACCTGGGGTGTTGGTGTGCCAGCAGCAGCCAGGCAATCACAAAGCAGAACTAAAACATGTACTGCACAGCATTTTAGCATAGCAGTGGTTGTGAGCCATAAAATAGTAGCTGAAATAAAATGGCAGCCATCATTCCTGTAGTAACTTTTATACCTTCATGCGTTTTGAATGATCTTTCTCCTATGACATATCCTTAGTTCATATTCTATAACATTTGCCTGTTTGTTTTTGTTTTTTTAAACTTTGGCATGATCTTTTGCTGCCACTCTTGTATTGTTCAATAATCCACAGATCTCACTGAATCAGTAAAGAGTCTTTCATTGGATGGGAAACAAGATGTAACCATCTAAATTAGGTCATTACTTCCCAGAGCCCTTGAAGTGTGAATCCATCCTTTAGCTTCTCTACTGCAAGTCCTAGTTCTTCTGAAAACACAGGCTCCCGATCATGTTGCTTTTGAATGTGCAAGACATTAAACAGAAAAATAAAAGAGTATACTTTTAATTATCCAATTTGTAACAACACAAATCTAACAGTATGGAAAAAAAAGATGTTCTTACCTTGTTTTCATCAGCAAAGTAAGCCTATAAAAAAAAAAAAAAAAAAAAAAAACAACTCACAACCTTGAGAAAAACAACAAAATTTAAATACAAGTTTGCTAGTAATTCTTTGGGTGAAAATTGGTAAGTTTTCTTGAAGAAAACAGATTATATGTTTTTTATTTTTGTTTTATAAAAAGGATCAAAGTAATTCCTATGTTCAAATCAATTACAAAAGAGTTACAACAGAAGTTAGGGACTGTTTTCTTTAAATAACATCAATCTCTGAATTTTCCAACATAATAAATAAAGATTTTATAATCAAAGTTTTCACATTGCATTTGTTACGCTAACAAATACTTTGTAGGGGATAAAATTTTAGTCAGCAAGCAAGCTAACAGCAATTTAATATTTTCTGCTTCATATGCATCAGCATTATTCAATTTTTAAAAAAAATGAGACATAAAATGCATAAAATAGTATTAAAATGCAATGAACATCACCTCAGTATAAGAAATGGACGCAGAGTAACTGCACAGTTTATCAGTTTTCTACTCTTTCACGTAGGCCTGTGAAAATTATACTGTGTTTCCAATTCTGTGTGGAGAAATTAAGATTCTAACTCTGAAAATATCTGCAGCTCTGTAAGTCACTGGACCAGCACGCCACAGATTTTTGCATTTGTGGAGAACCTGAGCTTTAATTCAGGTGACAAAGCCATCAAGAAAACAAGCAAAATCTTCCTTCAAGGAAAAGGTGTTCAACCACACTGAAGACACGGTTATGTTTAGCATGTGAACACCTTCTACCTGTGAAATCAAATAAATCAGGTCTTTCTGGGTTGCAAGTAAATTTGGAAATTCCCAGAAGGAAGATCATTAAGTTCCTGGACAGCCTAATACATTTAAATTTATTTTTATTGTATTCATTTCTGAAATAAAGGGAGAGGGGTACTAATATCATTTTCTAAGCTGGTAGAAACAGGTGTGCAACGCTTGCCAGGACTGGCTCAAAATTATTGTTGCTTTTCTAAAAATCTTCTGAATTTGAATCTCAGGTGAATGTACAAATGTCAACTCTTATTAATCTGTTCCAAAAGGAGAAAGACTTTTTTTATATGATGTATTTGATTGTACTGTGTGGCTAATCATCATCTTAATATGTGGAGAAACTACATACAAGTAGTACTACTATCTACTCCTGTTTGTTTCAAATAATAGTTTGTGCTAAGATTAAAAAAAAAACCACGCCCAAAATAAATGCACATAGCAATCAAGATTTTGATTAAAAAGCATGTAAGTGTGCTTAAGTACAGTTTAGTTGCAGCTAATTAAAACTGCATGCCACTTATATTTGAATATAAGCTTCTTTCCCACCCCTCCCCCCCCTCTGCGAAGAAGCTTACCACAAAAGCATCCGTCTGTTCACCAGGTTCTATTTCCACATCATCCTGAACCTGCTCCACTGTTAGGTCTTCAAGAGATTGAGGCTAAAAGTTAAAACGCTGAATAAATTCATATATCCAATACACATTTAATGTATTCTTGTTACTGCTTGCTAACACAATATTGCATCTAATTTACAACAGATGAGTAGACTACCTTTTCTTCCATTTCATAATCCACTCCAAATATAGGGTTAGCTGAATAAACTTTGTGAAGTGAATTAATTTCTTTCACTGCCTCCTGTAGTTTCTCCACAGGGTCTATTTTAAAGCCAAGTACATATCCTCCACTCTGCGTAACAGAGAAAAAAAGACATTTATTATTCTTTTTATTTAAACAACTGCCTATCATTCCTCTCCCAATGAGGATTTGTAGTTTAATGACAGTAAATTTAATTCTGATAAAAACATTACCTGTATTTTAGTATCTTAGCCTGCCACTTAAACCAGGAGTGAAACAAAAAACAATGATAATGTTTCTTTATGAGATAACTAAGCTTTAAACTGTTAGCCCGTTAGATAATGGAAAACAAATATCTTACGTAGAGAAACAAGATCTAAGAAAGGTGGGAGAAGTTACGAAGTGATACAGTGATTTATTCCTAGCTACTCGGCAAGTGTTTAATCCTTGAGATCATTACTAAATAAGATGTTAAATTAACTTTATATACAAGCTTATCTGTCTATTAAATCACCATTAAAAACATTTCTGACTGAAGTCAAATTGAAGAAAAGTGATTTTATTTCTTAGAGCAAAGCATACGTAGTTGAGAAAGATTAAAAATAGTGGTCTTGCTTAATTACAGAACTAGGTTTCAAAGACAATCTGTCAGAAGACACAGTCTCTAACAGCTAAATACTTTAAAGTGTTCAGGCTGGTTTATTGTTGCTCTGCTTAGAGACACTGTAACTCACAACAGCCATATTTACCCCAACATACTGACATTTTCAGAGGTGTGAATAATTGAATTTTTCAATTTTTTTAAAGCTGTCTTTTAATGGTCACACAGAAGGAAATCTATAAATGGCTTAAAAGTAGTACTGTAACATTTTATATACACAGCTATCTAATTCTGAAAACTGCTATTTAAGGGCTATTAAAGCTTCTTACCTGCTGAGAACTCTCTATCACAAGAGCCAAGCCAAACTTTGAGTCTCTTACTTTTATTGAACGCTAGTGGTAAAGAGGTTAAACAAACAAACAAACAACATTATAAACTGTTTTGGAAACACCTGACAACATTTAAATATATATATATATATTAATATATATTTTTATTTTTAATATATAATTAAATATATATATATATATATTTTTTTTTTTTAAACACTGTTGTAATTACTGTTATACCTCTTGGAACCTTGGCTACTAACATTCTCTCTATTTCAATTCTGAAACAGTAAAGCCTCAGGAAAAGTGTTTTATCAAAAATATTAATAGTTCACTCCCAAACATTAGATTTGCAGCTCAGGGCATGCAGCTGACACGGAGCACAAGAGTAAATAGTTTGGAAATTAAAAATAACAAGTCATTCCTCAACATCTCTAATTGCTAATGGAAGCTTGCAATTCATCTGGACAGAAAAGAAATCCACCTTGTAGTTAATGCTGGCAAGACCAGATTTCTCCTTGACGTGGGGACATGAAATACTAAGTCAGTGTGAGATGGGAGCATTAACTGAATACCAGAAGTCATCCCATTTCATTTTGAAAATGGCTGCTTTAAAATACTTACAATTTGTAGATACGGTATGCTGACATTAAAGCTGTCATTCATATTTGCATGCCAAACTATTCTCACATTAGTAATAAAAAATGTTCCCAGATTTCCCTATTAAAGAAAAGGTATACGTTAGAGCTGCTTTGAAATACTGAGCCTTTCTCCCCCTTGACATTATGATTACTGATACCTGTTTATCACTAGTAGGGTATAGCTTTTCAATTAATTCAATAAAGGCGTGATCCTTTCCCACAGAAACCAGTGGAAATGCTATTAATGTCTGTTAGGAAGCAAGATCCAATCTTTAAAGGATACAACACCCAAGTTGAAAATCACTTGAGAGTTCCTATGGCTGCAGCAAAGCAGTATCAAATCACAGCACAGCAGACCTGGTGAGAGTGCATGGAGTGTCTGAGAGTGTGCTTAACTGTACAGATCTGGAATTGGCATACAGAGTAAGTATAATGGCATGTGGGTTAAACTTAGGCAATTGTGTAGATGTGTGCCAAGGAAACGAAGGGGAAAGAACTTTTTAACTTGTCAGGATAAATCCTGTTTCCATTCTGGACTAAAGCTACACAGACAAAAATAACAGCTCCCATTTTGTTTCGCAGCTCTGGATAACACTTGTAAGTAGTTCCATGTGTAATAATGGAAATAGTTTCAGTTTTCTCCTTAAAGTCTTTATCAGTGCACATTTCAAGACCTAGATCCCCATTCCTGTATTTTCAATTTCCAGTAATCTAAAGACAACATAGTCTTACAAAGTAGTTAAGACTGCAAGTAAACATACAAACATGCAACAGAGCACTTTGGAAAGAGCAAGATTGTCTTTCAGGATGATACAGAGCTTCACACTCATAAATATCTTTTATTAACAGAAGCTGCGTATCTAGTTCCTTGCACATTAGCTGAGTCATGTAGACTTTGGTCTGCCAAGAAGAGAACTTCATTGTGCTGAATGGTAAATATATGAAGTCAGCTTTTCTGCATGCAATAGCTAATGAGCTGAACTAAGGGGATTGCTTGAGGTTACAAAACCATAGTAGTACAGTTGCTACATGAAAGCCAAAACATTTTAACTTCGCTGCAGTCAAACACAGTCTCACTTTTAACTTTACCTGGTCACTTGATAAATTCCACACTCCGTTGATTTTATCATATATTTGTTCTTGAGGCAATAACCTCAGTTGCTTGTTCTGAATCAATGCACTTCTCAGCTTCAGATCGCGATACATTTTCGAAGTTTCATAAGCTCTGAAAAAGTAAAAAACACCATGTTAAAATTTCAGTATTTATTCTCTATTACCTTTCAGTGCTTGTTTTAGCCACAATGTGAAATGTTACATTTTCAACTTTTCTTGTTGTACAGAAACAAGAGTGCTATTAAATCATCAACGTAAACGGTTGTGTTTCAGTTCTCCTTAATCAAATTAAACTTAGAAGAGGTTTTTTTTGTTACTGTTTTGGTTTCTTGTATCATCTATTTGAACTCCTATATTGTTCATGTTAAGATGTCTCTTTTTCTTAAGATTGTCATATCCAAGCCTGTACTGCAAAGCATAAATTGCTCTCATGTTATACATAGTATGGATACCAAAAATGGCATTGCTAGTTAAGTCAAAAACATCTAATTATATGTACTTACAACACCAACATCTAACAACATGTACTATTATCTGTACTTCATAGCTCTTCAATAGAAAGCAACACTACTGTACTATGCAGACAGTCGTTCAGGCGGTTTACCTTTAGGTAGGAAAGAAACATCCATCTCAAGTTTTAGTCAGAGCTAAATTACCTTTGAACTCCCATTTCCACTACATGGTCAACAATCACAGACATGGGTTATAGACATAAATGACCAATGAAAAATGCATGATTAGTTTCTGGGGGTTTTTTTGTAATTTAATTTATTCAGTTGATATTCAAAGGGTGAATGCTTTAATCCATGACCATTATTGGCATACATTAATTCTCTTTATGTACAGTTATCTAGTAGAATCTGTGAGCATTCTCTCTCCTCTTTCTAAAGATTGTGTTGTCCTCTTTTGGAAAGGTTTTGTCAATGTTAAATATGGATAATCCACCAATAGTAGTAATCCCATGTAATTAATCCACTGAATTTCGTAAATGAACAAACACTATTTTAAGCATGATACCTGTGCACAGCAATAACTGAAGTGAAGAGTCTGGGACTCCCAGGAACAACATTGGTAAATATGAACTCAAATCGTGTATTATTACATTTAGTCAATATATACAGAGCTTCTGTCTGTCCCCGTAATTTCTGTAAGGAAAATTTGAAATTTAATATTTTGACAGCATTGTAGCTCACACATCCAGTGGTTTAATCCTGATTCTACCACTTATCTACTGTTGTCTAGCGATTTACTGTTGTCTTTCATTTCTTTCTTTTGCCACCTCCACTGGGAGCTAGCATTTCCATCAGCAGAACTAATGAAGCCTGGCTGCCGTACATTTGTAGTATTTGCTTCTTATCATCCAGAGTCACCATCCTTCGTTTTGCTCCCAAAATGCCCTGGCTCTGCATGCAGTCCATTACCTACCTCAGTAGCCAGGGGAATGGGAGAGTTGTGCCAGCCAAGGGTGATGAGTGTGCTGAGCAGCCAAACCATACACAGACCAGTTGGTGAGCTGGCATCTACCATGTGGCTACCTGAGGAACCTACAAAATCTCCCTGCTACTTCTTTGCTGCTTGCCAAACAAATGACTTCACAGTTGCATGCAATCAGGCTACACATTTGAGAGCTTTCTTGCACAAAGTTACTGTTTCTACATCTTTTTTAGTAGTAGACACAACAAACCAACAGGCATTTCACTTATCAAGAACAGAGAAAAATCACCAGACAGTGTGATGAGTTTTACTACTTTGGGAACCAAGTATATAAATATGTAAAACTCTCCCAAACTAAATTCCTGTACTGCTTTTTCTGCAAGTAAACACACTGCAATAAATAAAAATAACTAATAACACCTTTTTTCAATATTTTAAAAAGTATTTTTTGAAACTTACTGAGTTGGCAGTTCTTGTAGTTATATTTATAATGCAGTTGTAACCAACAGCTAAATGGGAAGAAAAAAAATAGTTTTGAAAAAAAACGTAATCAAAATTATGAAGCACAATACTGAATTTTGTAGCTTTGGGTGCTGTTCTCAAGAATTCCATACTGTGGTTAACCACCTGGGCTCTCATCATAAAGTCAAAGACCTCAGGAGGTCATCTGCTCCAATGCTCTTCTCAAAGCAGAACTAATTCCATCTGGATGCTCAAGGTAGTGTTCAGCTCAGTTTTGAGCATCTCCAAAGAAGTAAAGAGGTATTTCCAAATCTGAATATTTCCAGTCACTCTGGAAGCTTGTACCACTGTCAGTCTGCTACTGTGGTGAACATTTTTCTCCTAATATCTAATCAGTTTCTCTTGTTTCATCTGTTTATTGCTGCCTCTCATCCTGTCAGTCATATGCTACAAGGCAGCCCATTTCATCATTAAGTCACACTTAAATTTTACCCTTAGAAATAAACATTTAAATAAACAGCAATATAATACTTTGTGGGGAAAAAAAAGAATTAAGGAGGTGACAAAGAAAAAACAGCAGCAAACTAGAAAGTGTAAGAGAATAAATAAGAAGAGAGAAAACAAGGTATAAATTTCATTTTGCATCTTCTACAGCAGTGTTCTGATACAAAATAGGAATAAAGAACTCATCCTTGACATTCAACATAAAATTGAAGCCATAAAGTGGTGCTGGGCTAAATCTATAGATACCAATTATTACAATTTACCACAAATTTGCCCAGCCAGATTCTGAAAAAAAGAGAGAAAGAAACGGGATTTGCTTCTGCAAGATTTTGCATCTCTAAAAGCTCAGTTCTGGCAGCATGTTTGTGTGCACTTGTGCATGTGCACATCTATGAGAGAGCACATACAGAAGAACAAGCAGTCAGAGCCATAATTCGCACTGCTTAGGAGCAGAACAGATTTCATTACTGACTGGCTTTCAGGAACTGAGCCCTGGAAATGATCTGGGTACTGAGTAAGGGCATCTTGGCCCTACTTCAGCAAACTAAATTCCAGTAAACTAGCTGGCTACTCACACAGTTAAAATTAGAAGCTTATTCACAGCTCACAATAGTAGATTTGGGAAAGTAGGTACTTCTGGGGAATAAAAACTGTATGTGAATTAAACAGGCGGCAATGTGAGGTTTAAGTGATGCAAATGATGAAGAAATTCAAACTTACGTTTCTTTTTAGGAAAAAAAAAGTTACAGACAGGTTAAACAAAAGATACGTCTAAAATACTCTTCAATTTCTGTCCTTATAAATTGCCACTGAATATTAACATTTCACTATGAATTAGAGTAACAGTTTCCATACTACAGATTCATCATAACAGTTTATTTCAGACTGTATAGAAACAGCAGGCCAAGCTTTTACTATTCTGTAGTGCAATCTATGGTATCGTGAACACGTAGCATGCCGCTACAAAGGAAACAGCGTATTTTCAATCGTTTAATAGAAGATAATACTTACAGAGATTAACTCTGGGCAGTGACAATGAGCGCCAAATAATCCTCAAATTTGTCACGAGCAGCCTACCTGGAAATAAAGGATGTAAATAGTTTTAATCTGAATAGCTACCATTAGAGCAAACATTCAATTCTGTGGTAAATATTTACCTCTAGTTTTGCAACACCATAATATTCCTTCCTCTTGACAGGAAGAAGAAAAAGAGGATATCCCTGCAGGACAATCTCTATTTGTCTTCCTTCCACTGCCCTAATTTTTTTTAATACCAGGAGAAGAAATCCAGCAAGAAGGAACAAATGAAAGAACCTCTACGTATACCAGCATTCCTCACAACCAAACACCAAACAGTAATTGATTCCATATCCACCTGACTGGTAAAAAAGCAGAGACACAATTAGCACACAGCTGCTCTGGGAGGGGAGACAGTGCGTTAAGAGCCCAGCTGACTTCATGAATAACCTTGCCTCTTTATGTCACATGCAAACTTCTTCAATTCAGCAGCACATCCAGCCACTGGAAGGGTCGCTGAGCACGCTGGCAGCCCTACACACTTACACCCCCCGTAACCAAACAAGATACTATTTGAAAATACTCCCAGCAGAAACAGACCTGTGAAACAGGAGGGTTCATTTTCTGAAACAGATGTAGATTAAGTATCAGGAAGGTTACAGTTTCTCTGAGCAAGTAGGTACCTCTGTCTCCATTGTTTCCTTTGGTATCTTCAATGGACTCCAGGCAGTCTATAAGGACTTCTCCAGATCTCATTTTCATTTGCCTAAAAAAGGAAAATAAAAATTAAAAAAAAACACGCACAAAAAACAAAAACACAAAAAACAAAGCCAAAACCTAATGAAAGACTGCATTTATCCTCCCAGGGAGGGCCATTTATATTTCCTCACTCACTTCCCTTACAGCAAATGCACATCTGCACGCACACACAAATCAACCACATATACCTGAAGTCGTCATTGTCACATAGAACACGTGGAAAATACCAATGTCTTTATTCTTAAATTATAACAGTAAATAACTGTGTAGGAAGCATGATAAGCAAACTGCACCCAAACACTGGGAGGAGGCACGTAAGGGCAAGGCAGAAAAGCTAAGAACTCTCATGGATCTCAATGTCTCCTTGCGTACCTTTGGCCCCACCACACAGACGTTACAAAAACAAAAGCATTTCCGGGACGTGAATTCCCTTTTTATTTTGACTTCCCGACTCCAGAAAACAACCAACTCCCCCCCCATAGCTACATTTGGGTGTGTGTGTGTTTTAAACAGGCAATAGCGCCACCTAGCGGCGCCTCAGCGGCACGGCACAGCCCACCCCACCGCCTCTTCCCGTCCCTCCGCGTCACGTGACGGAGCAGCCATCACAACGAAGGCGTCCCGGCACGCACCGCGCCGCTCAGAGCGGCCTCAACCCAGTTCACCGACAGGCAGCGATAACTGCGACCGTCCGGTCGAGTCCCCACAGCCCCGCTGTAAGGGCGGGGCAGGCAAGCAGGCAGGCACTCACTGCGGGGAGATGTCGAAGCGGACATCTCTGTCCTCCCACAGCACGTCAAGCACGGCGCTCATGGCTGTCCGCTGCTTCGCTTCCCTCCGGCAAGACCTCGCGCCGCCCTGGCAACGGGGGTGCTACAGCGCGCTCCCTCAGCGCTCGGGATTGGCTGCCGCCCTGGGGGGGGCGGTGCCCGTTCTCCCGCCCCGCCCCGAGCCCCGTGAGGCGGCGGCCGGAAGTGCGCAAGGGCTTTTTGGCGGGAACGGCGCGCGTGGGCGTTGTGTGAAAGACGGCCGGGCGCCTCGGGTCGCTGGGTGTGGCTTTTCCTCGTGCCTTAGACGTGTCTGGTACAAGGTAACGGTCACACTGTGAGTGAACATTAGATCAAGCAAAAAGGACCCTGTGAAGCTGGTAGATGTAAAATGTACTTCTAATTTAGAATATCTCAAAAAAGCATACCCAGATGAATGTACTTCATTTGTGTGAGGGTACTTCTTACCATTCACTCCTCCCCCTCACAAATAAATAAACTGCTTCCAAAACCATGTTGTGCATCAGGGCTGGCCTGCCAAATGGCAGCTCTGTGGAGAAGGACCTGTGGCTGGTTCTGTGCTACGGCCTTGTGCTCCTGTGTGTGAAGGAGACCCGGAGCTCCTGGAGCACAGCCAGCAGAGGGCTAAAAATGATAAAGGGACCTGACCACCTCTTCTGTGGGGAAAGTGGAAGAGCCAGGCCTGTTCAGCCTGCAGAAGAGAAGGCCCAGGGGGGAATGTGATCAGTGTGTGGATGGTGGAAGGGACAGCAGTAAGAGAATGGGGCAATGGTGCCATAAGAGAGGCAGTAGGCACAAATTGTGTAAACGATGTTTGACTGTGGTGAACACAAGAAAAAACTTTTTTTATTGCAAGTGCTGGCTGAGGTTGCCCAGAGAGGTTGTAGAGTCAAAAGCGATCCAGACTCAGTCCTGGGCAATGTGGGTTAGGGGACCCTAAATGTGCTTTAGGGGTTGGAGATACAGCCATTTCTTGGATGTGCCTTAAAATTTTTATGGAAGTTGTTGAGCAACTAGATGTCATTCTTGAGGCCTAATTCAAATTTCCAATTTGTTTGTTCAGGAAAAGAAAAAAAAGTAAACATTCTGGCTTTATATGCAGGAGTGCCTAATCCATGGCAATTCCATAACAGGACTGTGGTAGAAATCCAGATGTATAATCAGGAGCACATCTAGCTGTAACTCAGTAGTGAGATCAGTTTTCAGTTCTGTAAAGGTACTGCTTATCCACACTCTATTCTAGCAGTAAAACCAGAAACAGTTTATTAGAAGCAAGCTTTTAAGTATACAATTCAAATAAAAAGAGACAGATCAAGTAAAAAGCCATAGGGCAGTGACAGGCAACAAAGAATAAACTCAGCTTAGTCTGATGTTTCGAAGATAAGTTAAAGGATTTTTAAGAAACAGTAAAATAATGAAACGCATTTAAAAGTCAGGGCTTTTAGAGTAGAAACATATGAAAAGAACCATTTTAGGCATAAATTAGCCTAACTTGTTGATGTCAGCTACTGGTGTAGTCACTTATATGCATTTGTGGAAGTGTTTAATTTCATTTGTCATGTACCTTGATAGTTACTGGAAACTGAGGAGAGCTGCTAGATTAAAGGTCTGCATCTAAGAAGGATGTCGTTTAGAGAGTTGCGTAGCTCAGCTACCTTCCTGTCTTGTGACCTGGATAGCATGTAGGGAACAAGCTGTTGCATTTGCTGTGTTTATCTGGTAACCGCTGAATAGCAGTTGCATGCAATTCGGAAGTTGATATTCTGTGCTTGAAATATTAAAGTAGGATTTGTGGGAACACTTCCTTAAAGAAAATGAAGACTTCATCACAGAATCTATGACAACTGTCAGGTTTCTGTAACAGAGAGGAAAGAAGTTATGTGACTTTTTATGACCAAAGATTGCTTTCCAAAGCCGTATGTATAATTTAAAATGAAGTCAGTGATTGTATAACAGTATTATTTAGAAGAAACTCTGATTGCTACAAGAGCTATGCTGGTCTTTATGGAAGGAAGTTATGAATTCCTGATACTGCTAGAAATGTGTTGCTTTGTTTCATAGGGACTAAATCATAAAATATGCACAAAAGAAATTAAAGCATGCTTGCACAGGTAGATGTTTTTAAAATTAATGAATGTATGACTTCACAATGTTAACGTTCTTTAAGTTAGTGGGTTCAGTTTTACATACCATACTTGATACTTCATGACTAACCTGAACAAGCAAGATCTTCATCTTGCTAGTTATTAATGTAGAGATAGATGCGAATTCTTACCTCCAGAAGAAAATACACAAGTCTCTCTACATTCCGCTTCATTCTCAAAACGATTTGCATTTCCATCACAGCCACCATACCAAAACTGAGCACATGCATTGGCTTGTTGATCATAATACCATTTTATGATATAAACACGGCACGGCCCTTGATCCAGCCTTAACTTGCATCGGAGGTCCAGAACATTTCCTTAAAAAAAAAATAATAATAAAAATAAAAAAAATAATAAAAAAAAGGAGTGGACACAATTATGTGCAAAAATCAATCATGACATGCTAGTTTCACTAACTCTAATGATATGGTAAGATAGAAAATACTTTCTCTTAAAGTTTAACATTGTGACATCGATATTCTACATGTATCATTGGCAGCTAGTATCTGGAAACTTAACATAATAGAGTATTAGGCAGCTATCTTAGTCATGTCCATGTTCCCAGGAGGCATGCTCTTTATATGTTGTTGTTCCATCACAGTATGTTGCTACTGGAATCCACGAGTGTGAAATTATGAAAAGAACACATTCAGATTTTTCACATGAAAAGAATGAATTGTTTCAACAGTCAGCTTATTACTATACTTTCCTTCAAATGACTAAACACTTTTTTCCTGTTTCTCTTCTGAAAGAGAAGTCTGTCCAATTCTGAAATCACTACGTATTCTCCTCTCCTTAATGAGGTCTCCCATCTCCTGATGGGAGACTGACCCTTTCTGGCCAAAGAATTCTCTGCTCGCTGGCCCACCTCACCTGGCACTGCATTCTCTCTTCGGTGCCATTTATCAGCACTGCCTCAAGTTATAGCTGACCTTGTTCTGTACTGAGATGAGCAGTGGGATTTGGAACTTGCAAAGAAAATAACTGGTTAATAGTCTGGCCAAGAAGTAGATTTATCAGGTAGATTTTATAAAATCCTGAAATGTTGTCTTTCCCACAGCATGGGCTCATGAAATCTTCAGAAATGGATGGATTCAACAGATTGACTCTGATTTAAAGCATTATAAAAGTCAGTATTAAGGCAAGAGAGAAGAAATTGACACCCTGGGTGTTATTTATTACCTGGCCTTGGTGTGAGCCTTGCAGTTGAAAGCACTTTGTCTGAAGATGATGGTGGCAATGATGATGTCACAGCTGTGGGTAAAAACAACAGAATGAAGCAGTGATTTATTATCAGCCAAAAGTAACTAGAAGTTGAAAAAAAATAATGGTGACAAAAATACCTCTAGTGTCCACTGTTACCAACGGTGACTGTTCCTTTTCCTCTAGATTATCTTCATAGGCTTCATTAACTACCACAGTAGGTACATCAGTCTGAAATAAGCATTTTATTTTCTTTTCAAATATCGTTAAGTGTCTCAAACTGAACAAGCCTATTAACATTGACAGGTTTCCTAACACTTTTCCTTCCCATCTACCTTGACTGCATTGCTAAGAATCAAGATTTTAACCTCACCAGATTAGTTTACCAGGAGGGTTGTCAATCCCAAACCCGCTGTATTAAACCCAGTATCAGTATCGAGACTAAACTGTGGCCATTAAAGAATTGCATGCATGCAATACGTGAACTTTTATTCAGAACACCAGCACTGAGCATAGCAAATTAAAGGACCTATTGCAGTACCTGCCTGCAGAAATGAAGTTAGATGTTGCTTCAGGCAACAGGGAAGAAAATAGGTAAAAAACAACCTTCATTCATAAAACATGCTTAATTTTCATACCAGAACCAATGGCTGAGGAAGATCACCAAGATCCAGAGGACTTTCTATTGTAGATACCCCAGGTGTCTGTGCTGACAGCGCTTGCCCATGAATACTGTTGTTCTGAAGCATGCGATATGAAGGACTTGAAGATACTGAATGGAAAGATGGTCCACTTATGCTTGCAACATTTCCATTACGATTGTAAATGAAAGTACCATGCTCATCTTCACAAAATTGGTTGACTAATTTGGACTCCAGAGCTGTTCAAAAGAAGTTAAAATTCATCATATTGAGAAATTCAATGGATTTTTCAAATTTGGATTATTTACACACATGAATAATACACACGTAATCCAGTACGCCTTTAGAATATTTACACATATCTGAGATCATTCCAAGGCTCTCTGAACTGTTTTTTTATCATCACAGATTTACCCGCCTGTAGGTCCTCCAGATGATACACATTTCCACTCCAGCAGTTCTGCAGTGAGTGAGCACTCCCTCTGCTTAGGAAGCCAGTTTAAACGACTGCTTTCATAGCCTGTAGCTGACATCTTTGGTTGGCAC